TATATATATATATATATATATATATATATATATATATAATGAATTTACACCTAAGTCTTTCAGTTATGACTCTACTGGACCCTACCCAACATATTTGTAATTTATGATGGTCAAAAATGGTCAAAAATCAGGACACCCATGTGACCAACCTGATTTAACAGCTTTTTTGTGGTGCTCATTAAGCAAAGACTATAGTCATTAAGTGAACCAATGCTTCACTATCGGTCAGTTTTGCTGAAAACTGGAAGTAAATGCCCAATTCTTTGCAAAATCATGTAAAATAAGGTTGTGTGACTTTAGAACACTGAAAGTGGCCATAAACGTGCCCCAAATGCTTAGTATTGTAAGTGCAGTCACATGATTTAGGAGGTGGAAAAGCCATCATCAGAATGTCAAATCTGGGCCATGAGTATCTTTGTAAGTATCTGTCATAACTTCAACTGGTCACTAAGTAACCAGTTGAAAATTAAGGACTACTTCTACTGGAACATTTTGGAAATGTTCCAAATGCTTAGAAGTCACTCCTTCTAAGAGCTATAATTAACTTTTCCTTCTTATACAGGAGAATAAATATGAATGCAAATGGAACTGAAAATACGTAAGCTTACTTTTCTCCGATTTTTAAGAATTCTGTCCAAATTCTCTTCATTGACTTTGCCTGAATAATCATAAAAACTTAAAAAAAAGAAGAAAACAGAAGTTTAGATTATACATTTAATCACAGCGAAGGGTTGTGAAGCAAAACATATAGACATTGAATAAGCCATTCTTCACTAACTCTTCTGTGTTCAGAGGTTTAAGCAATACATGAAAGGTTAGAGAAGAGATGCCCCCATTTAAACACAATGCTCTCAGTCTGAATATTCAGCAGAATTCCACAGCAATTGATATAGTATACAAATAATGTATCAAAGAAATGCTCTCATCAAAAAGAAAAAAAGCAATTCTTGATACATGAGGAGCACTGGAAAATATTCCTGCCTTTTAATAACTTCTGTTCACATGATGTAAATTGTTTCCTGATTCAGAGAAATGTATATTACTAGGAAAAATCCCAGTTTAACAGAGCATGTTTTTAACAATTTATCCCAATTCAGCTTGCAACATGTATACATTTAATATGCAAAGCATCATATTAATAATATTATGATTATGGCCTCTATTCAGAGAAATGAAGGATTATTTACTTTATAAAACACCCGTTTAATTAATTGAAAATGTCCCAGCTAGACAATGTGTTATTATTTTGTTCACAACATAAATAAGGTCTTAGAAAATAATTCAGCGGGCAATTTTGAGGGTTATTTTTAAATAAGCTTTTTAAAGTAGATGAATTTAGAGATGGTTTTTTTTAAATTAATGCAGTATAATCTTGAATAAAAGAACAGATGAAACATCATAATTATACATTCTCTGAATTCATTTATTTTAGGTTGTATATTTTTATGAATTATATATTTTTTAAAAATTTTATACACCATTATTATGGTTACAGCACAAGATAAATAAACCAATCTTCCTCCAAATTACAACTAACAGCACTTCAGTTTGAATGTCTTTTGAAATAAAACTCATCTTCAATGGTTTTATTTATTTATATGTGCATTAGAAATGTATAACACCGCCCAGCACTGAATGGCAATAGAAATTCATACAATACAGGTTTTTTAAGAAATAATCTCAAAAAGTGGAAGAAAAATAACCATTTAAGAGAATTAAACACGTAGATGGAGGAACACCCTGGTTTTCAGAGAACTTTGAAGCTGGATTGAGAGCTATAACTTGCAGGATGGTATTCCAAAGGGCAGGTATTGTAACAGAGAGTTCTTCTAAGTACCGTGAAGAAGGGGCTTTAAGAATCTTTCTAGACAAAGAGTTTCAAAGTGTAGGGACTTTGAAGTTGCCCTTTAAAGTCAAGGATAAAGAATGTTGGAATTTGAAATTAAAGTTTCCTACCTAGAGAGACAAAACACACAGTACTAGAACCAAAAGACTGAGAGGAAACTGGGAGCCAATGGGAAAGGTTTAGGTTTAGGTTTATTGGTTTATAGGTTTAAGGCAGAAGACTAAGAAGTTTTCTGTCTAATGGACCAATCAGGCTGTGTTAAACCCATGTGTGACCCCCTCCCTCGACTCCACTGGAAAACTATCAATCCTTACAAGCAGTCCATTAAGGTACATTGATCAATGGTACTGAAGGACACCCAAAGGGCTAAATTAATCAAGAAATCTTTACCCAGGTCCAGATAAAAGTCATCCACAGAGAACAAATGTTATTTTGATCTCTATCATTAGTTTGAATTCTGATGGCAAGAATTCAGATTTTGCTCGACCATCTAAAGCTGAGCTGCCACCACTGTCTCAATGATTTTTCTCAATAACCAAACAGAACATTGGAGACAGGCAGCAGAATCCAGATAACTTCAGAAGATATAGCCTTTTAGCACATTGGAGGAGAGATGCGCGGCATAACAATTTAATAAATAAAATAAATAGACAGCGCCTGATCTCTAATAACATATGGGACTGTGTTTTTTATTTCTATGATAGCTCATTTACATCACACCTGTATAATAAAGGCTCAAAACAAATCATTTTACTCCCTCAATAGGAACTCTGAGAAACTGAGGAGAATTAATTACTAGTCCAAAATTATCTACTGAATACTATAGTTGAATGAGCACCTAGGTCTCCACAGCTCCATTCAGATACTTGACCCATTTTGCTACACTGTTGGATTTAGCCCAACGACAACTGGTAAGGAGAATAAAAGTATGTGATAAAAGTAACCTACCTAAAGAGTTTGGAACAAGGCTCATGATTATGGATTTCTGGAAAAAGAAAACAACGCATTTATATTACTCTAAGGAAATAGAGATGCTCTAAAAATAATTTAAAGCAATATATCCCTAGCCCATATAGATAGTTCCAAGTTCACACAATAAGCAAATATTTCACTTTTCACAAGACATATGATGGTTTCACATTTATTAAGAACTCCCGAGGAACATAACTCTGCAAGTTTGGCAGAATTAATCACTTCTCAAATTGAATGTATTAAATAAAGACTTCATTGCTATTGCCTGCCCACAAAGGTTTCTACAACTGATTATTTAAATGAGTGGATCAGAAAGAGAACATGAAATTTCTCTAAAGGTAATCAAGCAAAATAGATATGTTGCCAAATCTTTAATGCAATGTATTTGCTTTAGGAACAGATTCACATTTTCAAATTATGTGTCAGAATGTGCTAGGAACCCCAGCCCCATTTAGGGCAAATATGGAGGAAAACTATCTCTACAAAAGACCTCCTGGAGTTGAAAGCACACCTGCTAGGATTATGTAAACTATTGGCCCTGCCAACAGTAGCAAGTACATTTAAAATAGAATGGGGGCAGGTAGAGACAGAAGAACCACAGTTGTTGAGAAGCTGTTGTTCCTTCCAGAGGTACGGCAGCATTTTATGGTTCTAAATTTCCCATCAAATATGGACTTTCTGAAAATCTATTTATAACCATTTGTCATCTCTTAAGTCTATGTCTCCAAAAATATGGCAAAAGCCGTTATAAAATAAAACAATTCTGACTCAATTTTAAACAAAGCTGAATAAGAGAGGCACTGACATTTCTACTTCGCCCTCCACTTTTGCAGAAAAAGTCAAAATAATCACTTTCAAATTTAATGTCCAATGTGCCATAACCTGGAATAATTGTGTGTACTTGAGTATATGCAGTCATATTCATGCTCTGCATATGTTAAAAATCAAAGACCATACAAACTATATTCAACAAGATAAATCAAATAACATTATTCGCCTCCTGCTAAAATACTTTCTAGACTTATATCAATTTGACTTTGCAATCAGAAAATCCATAATCAATTTTTTTATTGTGCAAGCCATCTAAAGTCACTTATACAAGATGGGTAGATATACAATCTGAATAAATAAGCAAGCAAACATGCAACAACAACCATATAATCTAAATAAACACAATATTACATTGCTAGAAATTTAATAACGCTTACCAATCACTTGGAGAAATTCTGTGTTGCTAATCTGAGAGTCACTAATACTGAATGTCTCTTCCTGTCTTACCTCTCCTAATAAAAATCCTTCCTGTAAAAAGAAAAAATATTTTGATGAAAGATAAAAAAATAGAAACTGAATTCATTTGTTTTCCCTTACGCATTTAAAAAAAAAGTGTTTTGGATTTTTATTTTTAGAATATACATCAACATCAGTACATGAACGGTGCGGCATCTGGATATCATTCATTTTGGGACAAATGTCAATAATAATATTAATGGTATTTGTTACATTAATCAAACTTATGAAAGCCTAATATATATATGTGTGTGTGTGTGTATTTGTTTTAAAGTAGTTCTTCAATATTTCAATGTTCCATTTTAATGCCAATCACAATATTATTTGAGTATACTGCCTTCTTCCAACCTCTAATCTTTCCGTCTAGTTATTGCTTTTATTCTATTGTATGAAAAATGTATGTGCTAATATTCCCATTTCTTATTTCTGCATCTATTGTGGCTTCTAATCAGGCCACCATTACTAATCCTAGTGTTAATTCACTTGTTTCTATTAAGATATAGTCCTTTATTATTTAATTATTCAATGTTTCAATGCGCCATTCTAGTGCCAAACCATATTATTTAAACATACTTAATACCGTCTTTCAACCTGTAATCTTTCCATCTAGCTGTTACTTTATATGAGTGTGTATTCTTATTTCTACCTCTATTCTAGTTTTTAATCATTATATTTAAAAAAGAGAGAGAAAAGAATTTCCTTTCTATCCATCATCTCTTGCCCGTTTTAATACTTCAATTCTTATTCGTTTTTTAGCTTGCCTCCCATACTCCTCTCTTGAATCCTTGTCTCTAGCTACATCTGTTTCTTCACTGTTCAGTCTAAACATTTCTTCTTCTCACTCAACTCCAGTCACTGTTCATCTACACTGCTCCTGTAACTTTGGAACGAGCTCCCCGTGGAGATTCGTACCCTCTCCACCGTCCAGGCCTTCCGCACAGCCCTTAAGAACTG